CCCCTGCTGCTCCACACAATGTATAACTCATCTCTTTGGATAGCTCTTTGGAGAGTCCCTTTGCTTTCCTTGCCCCTCCCTTCTGGCCAGACACAGGCTGTGCCTAGTTAGGATACAGAATTGGGAATGGTATTCCTCCTGGCAACAATACTTTGCCAATTTAACCAAGACCTAAAAAATACTACAGATTTTTATTTCCCCCAACCCTCAGATCACTAGGTACTTTGGTGCACCAGGGTACACCTCTCTGAGTTTTAAGTCTGTCTCCTATCTCTTCCATGCAGCATCTTTCCTATACTCGGCTTCTGTCACCAAAATCCTCAACAACAACAATAATATCTTACATTTATATGTTGGTAGAGACTGGAACTGTGATTTCATCAGTCCAGGAGGAGAAATTCCCTCCACCAATGCAAGGGAACACTTTATGTACAACTTATTTTCTCAAAAGAATAGGTTCTCATTTGACATTCAACAGTCCCACAAAGGAATATCACTTTACAGATAAGGAAACTGAGGCTTAGAGGTTCTTAAGTTATTTACTCAAGACCACTTAACTAGTAAATGAAGAAGACAGAATTTGAGTCTATGTACTCAAAACAACTAAACAAAACAACTAAAACAGGTAGGTGGCCCAGTGGCTAGAATGTGGAGTCAGGAAGAATCATCTTCCTGAGTTCAAATCTGGCCTCAGATACTTACTAGCTGTGTGATCCTGGGCAAGTCACTTAACCTGTTTGTCTCAGTTCCTCATCTGTAAAATGAGCTGGAAAAGGAAATGGCAAACCACCCTCGTATCTTTGCCAAGAAAACCCCAAATAAGATCAGGAAGAGTTGGACGTGACAAAACAATAATCTAGTGGATTATCTGACTCCCCCAAACTTTGAGAATCCCATTCTGTGGATATAAAAGACAGGATATCTCAAGCCCTCAATGGTCATAATGGTTATCATGAGATTATAGGAGCAAGAAAAAAACTTGTGGGCCCTTAAGCCCTGTCCTTGATATGAATGATTTGCTCCACACCAAATGGCAAGAGATAATATTATACATCTTAAGTGGCCAAGAGCACTGACCAAGTCTTGGATGCACATCTTTATTCCTCAGTACCTGGTGTCTGTCTCTCATCCATATGGTATGTAAGAGAATCTACCAACCATGGTGACAGCTCACACAGAGAGATAGGCCAAAAAGCTATGCATGAAACAACCTCTCAGTGCCTTGCTTGCCTGAATATATAGGAGGGATAAGATCAGCTTCTCCTTTGCTTCCTTGATATACAGGTGGAACAGGGAGAGAATGATCTGAAGCCTCTCTAAGTTCGAGAGAACTAAGAGAATGAGTACAAGCCAGGGAATGACATTCCCATCCTCACTGCCTACTTCTGTAAACAAAATCCTTGTCCTCCCTAGGGCAATCTAGGTCATAGCCCAGCCTCAGTTTGAGGGCTGGAGGGCATTGCTGCTGTTAGACAATGACTCAGAAAGGAGGTTGTGTCTCTGCTTGTGTGTATTTTTTTTAAAAAAATCGTGAGGCTCATACATACAATCACATACATACAATCACTCATCTAAATTTTCACATTGCCTTATTGTGACCTTTTCCCCTTCAAAAAACGCCCTTCAGAGATCACAATTTCAACTGTTTAAAATGTTTGCTTATAGGGGTGAGAGGGAGGTCGGCTTAGGTTGGAGACAAGAAACAATAGTATGTAATTTGCCTGTTTCACTTCCCTACCCCCTGCCCTTAAGTACAGTAGTACTACAGCTATGCCCCCCCCCAAATATGAATTGGGGGATTCAAGTAAAGTTAAAAACACATCTCCCTGACTGCACTGTCACAGCCTAAATTAGGCTAATCTTCAACCTGCAGCTAAACTCGTAAGCAAGGGGAATACCGTGTTTCTACACACTTACAAAGACAATAGCATTGGGCTTGTGGTTGCCTGGTTAGGAACTAGACCTGTGCTAAAGTAAATTCGGGAAGAGTGAAGAATACAAAGCTGTCAGAGCTAAGGTCAAAATGAAAACAATCAAAGACATACCCCCTATCCAGCTGCTGCCCCAGGACCCCAAATCAGATGAATCAGACAACCCTGAACTTAGCCAACTCCTACTGATTACAGTATAGGAGGAGGCAGCCAGAGCAAGGGGGCCCATCTTCCTTCCCAATCCTTACTCTCAGTCTTCCCTGTAACGATCCAGCGCTTTTAGAGCCACTATTTTTTCCTTTACAATTTACGTTCACCTGGAGGGTCCGATTTTAATTAGTGTAATATTCCTGTTAACAACACAGACTAATTAAGGCATCCGTTAAGAATCCATAATGTAAATTTAATGAGCGGGTTCTGCCGGAATGTTTATCCATTTTATTTATTTATTTTTAGCAGACCAGCAAAAAGCCCAAGCAAGTTTCAGATTTGAAACACAGTTATTAAATGGCACCATTCAATTAATTAAATACTGTGTCCTAAGTGCGAAAGTACCTTTGTGTGCGATCGGGCATGTAGGCCCACTAAGCTCTGGATCTCTGCTTTTCTAACAGGAAACTAGAGCCCAGAAGCGCACCTTCATGCACCTTTTCAGTGAACACTGAAGGAGGGATTTCAATCTCGTATCTCTTTCCCTGAACTCTGCTCCAAGCCAGAGTTCAACTATGCCTCAGACATTATATCTAAGCACCACTCACCTGGACCTTTTTACTAGCTTTTCTTTAAAAACAAACAACAAAAACCCCCATCATAAATGTACTTGTTCTCTTGCAAACACCTGAATTTCCCCAATGCCATCCAGTCATGCGTGGGGGGCGGGGAGGAGAGATTTGTTTCTCCCAGACACAAACTGGTTTTCGCTACTCCTCATTCGGTCCCCTAAATCCTTCCTCAAGTGTGGGTTCCCATCAGCCGCAACATATGCATTCTCCCAAACATCCTTCGACCTAAGCCACCTCAGTGCTCATGCTATGCACACTAAGCTATGTGATAGATGCTCTAGCATCTCCTGCTGCAGCTCTCATTTGGAGGTTGTGGAAAGGCAGTTCCACACACTCTTTATAATAGTATTTTGTCCCCTCTACACATTCAGGCCAATTTACCACTCTCGACCAAGAGCTTACCGCGGGCTCTTGGTAGCAGAGTAATAATAAGCAGATGATTGCCCCGGGATCTGGGGCTGGTAAAACCCTCAGACACCCCGCCCCCACCTCTGCATACTGCCCCCACTTCTCCAGCGTCCCCAGACCGGGCGAGCATTGCAGAGCTCCGAGCCCCGCAATATTGGTATTCTGCACAGCAGCACCTCTGCTCTTCTGTGGCTGCAGAAGAAACAATAAAAAACGGCTTTGCGCGGCGCTCTCCCAAACCCTCCCAATGTCAATAGGTAGGAGAGTACCAACGAACAAGTAGAACAAGCTAGGGAAACCAGCGGAACGTGGTTCCCTTCCAAACTGAAAATGAACCTGGCTGGCCAAGCAGAGCCACTTCCCAAGGGTCGCTGGGGCAGAAAGTTTAAACGTAGTCGGAGCGACAGTGTAGCTCTTGTCCCCAAGCTTCTCCAAATCTCCCTGGGTGAATGGGTCTAGTTGGCCACCCCTCCCCCAAAGTAAGGGGCTAAAATCTTCGAAGAGCAAAATTAAGGAGCCCCGGATATCTATATCTTTGTGCCAGAAGACTCCCTTGAGGGAAATGTGAACGTTTTTACAAAGGTCGCCACGAATACTCCAATCCCTCCTCCCCAAGAGATAGACATCCCCTGACACAAACACACGCAGACTCACTCTCTCCCTCTCCCTCTTTGCACTCTAGGATCCAGCTGTTCTCTTTAGGAATTGGTGGGTGCCCAACGCCGCCTGCATCTCTGGCTGCCAGCAAACATTCAATCAACAACACCCGCCTAGCCCAGCAACATCCACTTAACTCTCTTTGGTTATATCCCACTTCCAGGTAACCCTTCTCCCCACCAATCTAGTACATGCCCTCTGAGAGGGGTTCCCCCTCCCCCCACTAAAAATCTCCCAGAGATGGCAGCATCAAGGGATTTTCCTTCCTTTCGTTGTTTGAGGGGACGAGAGGTAGGCTCTGTCCCGTTTTAGTAGGCTCATTCCAAAAATAAAAGTCTCAAGCTTTGACCTAAGACGACCCTCTCCTTCCCCCCAACCCGCTCCGCAGAAGCTGGTTTTCCCTCTGACAAATCCGTTTGAAGGGAGAATTAATCTCTTTTTCCCCTCCCCACCCCCATCCCTCAAAGGGAATTCCCCCGTGCGCAGGGTATTGTGCAGCCGCCACCGCTGCCACGGCACCCTGTGCCCGGGACTGCCCCGACATCTGAATGGAGCAAAAGAAGAGGAAGGATTCAGCTTAGCGCGGAACACCACCAGACGGAGAGATAGCACCTCATTACCAACTGCTCCTTCTCCATTCACAAAACCTGCTCCTCTCCTTCCCTGCCCCCGAGCCATCATCCCAGTCAACCTACGACCTCGAGAGGCAGGAGCCTGTGTGACCCCCTAACCCTTCAGGGCGCTGTCCTCCCGAATCTGCGATGCCCTCTCTTTCAGCACCTATCATCTGTCCCTGCTATCTCCCAGCTCTCCAGCCCCTAGACCTCTGCGAATCCCTCTAGCCTCTCTTGTCCCTCAATTCCCTCCCCCCCACCACCACTTCCTGCATTCGCGTCCCTGGATGCAATGCCCACCCCCATTTATATCCCTTATGTTCAGCGTCCTATTCCCACCCCCGGTCCCTTCGTCTCCCCATCTCCCCGTCTCCCTCTCCAAAGCCCCGGTTGTCCCTTCTCGTCTTCCTCTCCCTCCTCCTCTTCCTCTTCCTCCTCCTTCTTCTCTTCCTCCTCTTCATCCTCCACTCACCCCCATCCCTCGGTGCATCTCCTACCCCAGGTTCCATGTTTTCCCTTCTCTTCTTTCACCCCCAAAGATAATAATAACCAATAAAATAGGAATCCGGAGCCGAAGCGGCTGGCCGGGGGGCGCTGCTGTTACTCACGGTCTCAGCGTTCCCAACGGCAGGTGAGGGGAGACGCACTGCCATCCCCTAGCTGCATTCCCCACCCCCTCAAAGTGTCCGGAGAAGGCACCCCCTCTGAGGGACTGGGAGAGCCTCGCCGGCCGCAGGAAGCGGAGGAGGAAGCGAAGGCGAAGGCGGAGGCGGAGGCGGCAGAGGCTGCAGCGGATCTCGGCTCTGTACCCTACCACGCGACTCGACTCGTGTGCAGCGTGTACAGCGGGAGAGGTGCCCAGCAGCCTGGGCTTCGTTGGCCAGAGAAGCGGGAGAAGAAGCCCGTGGAGCTGGGGCGGGAAGGAGACTGGGGTCCTGGGTGGGAGCTGAGGAGGATTTTCGGTACCTGGAGCTCCAGAGCCAGGCAGAACGTGGGAGCGAGAGCAGTTTACCCCAGGAAAGCTCCAAGACACCTGGCTCCCTCCCTCTTTCTCTCTCTCGCTCTCTCTCTTTTTCCCCCTCTGCCTCCCTGTATCTTTCGCTTTGCTGGGGAGGGAAAGGAGCAGGAGCACGCAGCAGTGGCAGCAGTGGCAGCCGTGGTAGCAGTGGCAGCAGTGGCAGCAGCAGCACCCGCGCGAGTGTAGCGCGCGCACCGCCCAACGAGGGAGGGGTCCCGGGGTTAGGGAGGGTAAGGGAAGACCGTGTACGAGAAGGGGCGGAGGAGAGGGAGCGGCCAGTCCCAGGGCGTGAGAGGACTAGGAGGAGGTGACGAGTGGCGCGCACGTGCTGTGCAACGCTGTGAGAGGCAGGCACCTCCGCACCTGCCTAGTGGAGAAGCTTTGAGGCAGGTGATGGGTAGGGCGAGGAGTAAGGAAGGCACCTCCGAAACAGGGAAGGTTTAATTATGCTTAACGGGAAAAACCAGGAAAGACTCGATCTTCCCGGTCGGCTCCCAGGATCTCCTCTCATCCCCATCTTCCACCAAGTGGCGTCCTCTCTCTCACCGCCCCCATCACCACCCGGTCTCTTCTTAGGCTCCCCAGTTGGCTTTAGCTAAGGCAGTAACGCACAACGTAAAGAACGCACCCTGTACATGCCAGCCCTCAGTCTCCAGTTCCGAGTATATCCATGGTCAACCCCAAACTCCCCCTCCTTTTTTCATCCATGCGGAAAAGACTCCCTACCCCTATTTTGCATCTCTTTTTCCTTCTAGTTCACCCACCAGAAAGATTTCCAGAGGAGTTAGGGCCAAACCATCTGCACAGCAGATTCCTTTTCCTGGTTTTCTTTCCTGGACAAGCAGAGGAAAACCTAGTTAGAGGTTTGGTTAAAACTGTCTCCTTTTTAAGTCCCACCCCACTTCCAATTTAATGTGTATGACTTGGCCTAAGCCTTTCTAATTTCCCCAGCTGATTTAATGACTTTGGAGGCTAGGGATAAAGAGGTGTCTAGGGTTAGGTTAGCACTCTTCCCTCAAATTAAGAGTTGCTGGTTTCTTCTGACCCCATTATACATGGTAAAGTTTCAGTCTATAGCCTATTCCTTTGAGAGGTAACAGTTCTTCTACTTTAAGGTTTCTGAGGATGACTTTAAAGTCAAAGTCATTAGCATACGAATTCATGACATTTAATCTAGGGATCTCCTAAATGAATTTTAGCCAGATCACATAAGTCAGTCCTGAGTTGACATTCCCAGTGGTCAACTCAGGAAATGAGGAGTGGACAGAGAAATTTTAAATGCATAGCTGCTTGAGTTTAGCATCAGATGAAGGCAGAAAGGAAAAGGAAAATATTAATTAAGGGGAGCTAGCAGTAAGCAGGCTAATAAGGTTGCCAGATTTCCATTATCTTAGAAAAGGTAAATTGAGGGTATGGGCCAACCCATTTCCTGTTTTGGGCAGGGTCTATAGATAAAAAAAAAGTATGTTTATGTGGGGGAAGGGAGAGAAGTTATAGATCTGGACAAAGTGACAGTGACTTTTGTCCATAATTACTGGAATTTTCCAATAAACCCTATCTCCAATATACTCAGTACTCTACTGATTTCTTTCCTACATCAATTCTGGCCTCTGGTTACTGTTTCCAATTCTGGGAAGAATAATGGGAACTGAAGGGGGGAAATCTGTCATGGGAAAAACAAAGAGAGAATAGGAAGCAGCTAGGTGGTGTGGTGAATAAAGCAATGGAACTAGAGTGAGGAAGACCTGAGTTTGAATTTGACCTCAGATACTTACTAGCTGTGTGACTCTGGGAAAGTCATTTAACTTCTGCCTCAATTTCCTCATCTGTAAAATGGGACTAATTAGTAGCAAAGTGTTTTTGCAAGGATAAAATGAAATAATACACTTAAAGTATTTTTCAGACTTTAAAGTGCTATAGAAACGCTAACTATTACTATTAAGAAAACAAAGATTCCTCCATTTCTTATGCAGTAAGTTGCTTCCTCCTTCAAAGTAGTCTCAGAACAAAGGACAAACCACCTCTGTGAGTCAGTTCTACAGTAAATACTTGATTATCCACTGATAAAAGTTTTTATATTGCACTCTATATACCAATCAATCAATCAAGCCATATGCTACATTAAGTACCTAACACCACAGAGACACGTAGTTCACAGGAGACAAAATCCAAGACAATCAGTAGTAAAGTGCCTAACTTCAAATAATTATTCTTAAATATCCAAAGTTTAGGCAACAAGCCAGAGTCACTAGATGTCCTAACACAAAGAAGCATGTTTGACTTCATAGGTCATCACTGAGACTTTATGAAACCCGTAACTGGAATATAACTGAGTATATCTTATTCAAAAGAAACTAGCTGGGTAAAGGGTGTGGGGGGGGGGGAAGTTACCATTGCATATTAAGAAAATATATTCACTGGGGAAAACCAGGAACCATGAATGCCAACATTCCTTTGCTTCCAAACTTTCTTTGTTCCTAAATACCTCTATACTCATGCAGTTTATAATGGGCTGTCTATAGGGGAAAGGGAAGTATGATGAAGAAAACTTGAGTCATGGTCAATGGAGAGAGAAATAGAAATAGTTTTTGTCACTGGAATATGTTATGAGTCAGCCAGACAGGAAGAGGAAACAGATGAGTTTAGACTTGCCATGGTGATAATTTCATCATTCCAAAGGTGAAGGAAATATCAAGGAAAATTCTATTCTGGATATGATCTTCAGTAACAGGGAGGAAGTGATGATTGGGATAAAAAATAATCAGAATCCTGGAGGGAAGAGACCACTTTCTCCTAAAATTAAGGAAAGGAATAGAGGAGTGGTCTGATATGTACCCTAGATTTTTGGGAAAGTAGATTTCAAAGGGTTCAGAGGAAATTTAGGTTGGATCCTATATATTGAACTTCTACTAGAGAAGTCAGCCTAAAAATGGAATTTGAAAACACAAAGCAAAAAATTCCAGTGAGGAGGAAAAATGGCATTTTTCTCAAGATACCAATGTGGATGCACAAGGAACTCATCTACCCAAGTTAAATTTTTAAAAGAAATGAACAGAAGATGGAAGCAAGGCAAGGTGACAAGAGAAATATAAGAGCATGGCGAAGTTTTATAAAAATAACCAGAATTGTTAAACTTCAAAAAAGAGCTAATGCTAGTAGGGGAAGTTTAGGACAGCTAAAACATTTGTTTGTTAGTCTGTATTCAGAGAAAAAGGAGAAAGAAAAAAAAGACAAGACTATAGATTTGGATAGAGCATGCACTATGTATGCTGGTGGGGGAACACTCCCACTGGCCCTTCCCAAAAGGGAAGTTCCCTGAAAGGAAGAGAGAAGGCCAATGGAAATGTTATGCCCCAGGATGTACTAGCATGCTCCATCCATGCTCTACTCTATGAATGCCTATGGAGTGGACTTCTTGATTGGGGTTGGATGTATATACGATAACAAATCAGAACTGCTGAATTCTTATTTTGCTTCTATTTTATTTGTAAAGGAGAATGACCATTTCACTGAGAATCACAGTACAAAAATGATTAACAGGTAATTGATCCCCAAATCACAAAATAAATAAGGAGATAGTAAGAGATAATTTTAATATTTAATTATGGCTCCAGAAGACTGATGATGAAACATCATGCTCATCTCTTCAAAGAAAAACAATAAACTAGAGATACCAATAAGACATATATGTTTAGACATGGTCAATAAATGAATTTGTTTTGCTTTGACTATATTTGTTACGAGAGAGCTTTTATTATTTCAGAAGTGTAAAGGAAGAGTTAAGGAGATTAGAAATTATCAAGAAATGATTATAACACCAAAAAGGTAGAAAAGAAAGAAAAGTATTAGTGAAACATTTAAAAATACAGGGATGAGGGGGCAGCTAGTGGCACAGTCAGGAGTCAGAAGGACCTGAGTTCAAATCTGGCCTCAGACACTTGACACATACTAGGTGTGTGATCCCAGACAAGTCACTCAACCTCAATTGCCTCACCCCTCAAAAAAAAGAAAATACAAGGAAGAGGAAGGAGTTCAGAAGAGTACACAGGTAAGCCAGACAGTATTGGTACTATCATGTTAAATTTAATATATACTTTTTAAAAGCAAATTTATAGAAAATCTTTTTTTCCCCTACTATTTTTCACACAGTCAACAAACATTTATTAAGTGCTCTGTGCAAAGGGCACTGTGCAAAGCACTGTGATTACCAAAAAAAAAAAAAAATGCAGAAAACAATGTCCATGCCTTTAAGGAAGTCATATTCTAATGGAGGATACAAGGTATAAAAAGCTGTATACACACAAGATATATTCATAACAGATTAATGGTAAAATATCTAAAGGAAAGCTGTCGGCTAGAAATACATCATGCAGAAGGTAGGACTTGAGCTGAGTCTTGAAAGAAGCATTTGCTCCTATATACTTACTAGTGAACAAAACTGGAGAAAAATCACAAAAACTGTGCTCACTGGGTCCACTACAACTTTATCTTACATTGTTCTTACTGCTGCAAGGCAATCAATCATTTTACAACCACCTAACAAACACACTATCCTATTCACCACAGTGACTCTTCCAGACTTCTTCATCCCTCCTCAAATGTCCCATATAGTCCTCTCCTCTCACCCTTTCAGCTAAGAATCTTGCCTCATATTTAACTGACAAAAAAAATAGTCTATTTGTCAA